TTTTATTGCCTTCACAGTCACCAACTCTCAACCCAGTGATGGGCGTTTTGTGGACCAACATGTGAGACAGAGCTCTCCTCCACCATCATCTACACACTAAATGAGTCAATATCTTCTGAAAGAGAATCAATGCCAAGGTGCACTGAAGCAGTTCTGGCAGCACATGACGCTCCAACACCTTACAAAGACGCTTAAAGTTGCTTCTCCTTTAATTTGTCACACAACTCTTTGCGAGTTTGTGACAAATGTTCTTGTGAGTTTAGTCGAATATTCAGTGTAAATGCGCTACATATATTCAAAACCCAGACTGCGTTATAACGTCGCCTGGAAGAGAGTTTATGTCTGGTGAGCTGCTCAACTAAACATGCTGGATAGTTGGCAGAAGTGTTGGTCTCAAGTGTGTGAGACACAGGAACAGCAAAAACAGTTTATGAAATAGATCAGTGGATGTCAAAACAGCAGGTATTATTGCAGCGAGGACGATAACAGCAGACACTGATTCTAACTGAAAGTATTAGGAAGCGAATCCTTTACAAATGTAATGAACAGACAGTGTTGTTGCCAAGAACTACACGAGACTGTTGGTGTGTGTGTGTGTGTGTGTGTGTGTCACTTCACCTCCTTTCAAATCGGCCGAGGCTCCCACATACTGAAAGTTGTCCATGTTGATGACATCTATGATCGGAGAAACCACTCTGGTCTTATCCTGAGAGGGAAAGAGAAAGAAAAAAAAAAATGTAAACAATGCCAACAACGGATAAACACAGAATCGCAACACGAAGAAATCTGTTTCATCAATAAATATTTACTACAAGTCGAAGAAAACAACCAAAGGATGCAGAGCTGCAGACGACCGAGCGCTTCACCCTGTTTGTGGAATAAACAAATATTCCCATCAACGGCGATGATTCACATGTTTAGTTCTATATTTAGCTCATTACCATGTTTAAAAAGGAGAACAGAAAGTAAAGCGGCTTCGTCCCTCCTGCGCCACATCAAACCCGAGTTTAAACCTGAAGAGCCACATCACACGGTCGTTTCAAGAACAGAAACACGCTTCTAGGTTTTGAGGGAGTTGATTTATTTTGGCCTGAGACAACCTGATACGACACAAAGACTGCATTTTCCTCTCTTCAGTTTGTTTTTGATTCTTGTTGTACTGAGGGATCTATTATTTAGAGGAGCAACTACAGCAAAGAAACACAAAGTCAATTACTCTGACAGAAAACTGTTTTAGATTTGGCTCCGGGCATTTATTAACTTGGGAACGACAAACTGCCACATTCAGGAGGATTAAATGCGGAATCTGGCTATTTTCAAGCACATCCGATAAATATTTAAAGGACCTAAATTTTTACACACAGTGTCCCAGTTTGGATTAAGATTACAGTCAATCAAGAAGCTCCGTTTCAAGTCTTTACCAAACGGCTTCGCTCTAAATATCTCTGTTGATCTGTAATGCAGCTCTGTTTTACTTTAATAAACAATACGGGGAATAAAATCTGACTGCGATGGTCCCAACAGATAAAAATCTTCTAGTCACTCAACCAGAACGCTGACTGACTACCAGCTCCAGGGGGTTTTGAACTGAGCCGGACCTCTGTGATGGAGGCCAGAATAAAAAAACAACAACTCCTCGACAGATGTGAGTGATGGTTAATACAGTGCTGCCCACTTAATGTCATACCGCTTTATAGAATATCATGAAATATTGAAGTCCTGAATCATTTCCTATACAACCTATAGTAAAACAGTCCATTTATTGTCATAGAATAATGTTGTGATCTCGGTTTATGTCATTATGAAATTCCCCGAAATTAATTCCAGGAATAACTTTTACCGGTTTAAAGTCACGGTTGGCGGATCGTTGCAGCTCACGGGCCAAGTATCAGTTATGCGTGGCAGATCATCACACCCAGGTCAGCCACAGAAGGCAACGTGTTTGTTTGTTTGTCAATTACCTGCTTTTTTTTTTTTTTTCGTAAGGTGTGATCTCGAGCTATAAAGGCTAAAATATTCCATGAGAGACCCACAGGTGTGATCTCGTTAGAGGAAAGATCCCTTTACTTCCTTGTAAATATGTTTATTGATCGTAAGTAGAAAGTAGGCAGTTTTAATGTTTGACCTTTTTTCATGTTCATACACTTTTTTTCCCCTAGTTTAATATTTAAAAAAAGTTTAAAACAAGTCTTGTTTTCTTTCCTTAAATACTTTATTTCCCAAATACATGGTTCCCAGTACATTGGTTAGCTTTCACACCCAAACTCGCCGCCATCTTGAAGCCTGCTTACTGGAATATCCCGGATATAGTCATAATTCCATCCTGGACTGAGGATATAATAATAAACCGGCAGCACTTTACTATTATCAAGCCATGTTGAGTGCACAGATGTTTCAGACACTGAGATAGACTCTTAACATCCCCTTTGACTCTCGTCCTACTGCTTGTCCACTGGACCTGATACCATCCAACCTCTTACAAACCATTTCCTCAGCACTTAACCCTGCAACAACACATATCATCAACTCCTCACTTGCTCCGGGTATGTTCCCCACTGCATTTAAGCAAGCTCGAGTCACTCCAACACTCAAAAAATCTACACTCGACCCAGTCCAGGTTGAAAACTACAGACCAGTTTCACTCTTGCCCTTCCTGTCTAAAACACTTGAGTGAACTGTCTTCAACCAAGTCTCTACTTTCCTCTGTGGCAACAACCTGTATGACCTGTATCAGTCTGGTTTTAAACGGGGTCACCTTACTGAGACTGCACTTTTACCTGTAACAGAATCACTGTGTTCTGCTAGAGCTGCTGGACAGTCTTCAGCTCTATTGCTGTTAGATCTGTCAGCTCTCTTTGACACGGTTAACCACCACATCCTCCTCTCCACACTCACTGAGCTTGGCATCTCAGGATCTGCCCTCGCTGGTTTACGTCCTACCTCTCAGGAAGATACTTCAGAGTATCCTGGAGAGTAGAAGTGTCCAAACCGTACAACCTATCCACAGGGGTTCCTCAAGGGTCAGGGCTCGGTCCCCTTCTCTTCTCAATATACACAATTTCACTTGGTGCAATAATCCACGCCCATGGTTTCTCATTCCATTGCTATGCTGATGATACCCAACACTTTCTGTCATCCCCCCCGGACGAACACACGGTCTGTCCCTGGATCTCATCATGCCTTGCAAACATCTCAGCCACCTTCAACTCAACCTCTCTAAGACTGAGCTCCTTGTCATCCCAGCCAGTCCCTCTCCACAACAAGAAATCAACATCCAGCTTGATTCAACCCAACTCAAACCCACAAAAGTTGCCAGAAACTTGGGTGTCATGATTGATGACCAACTAACCTTCAAGGCTCATGTGGCCTCCGTTGCTCGGTCGTGTCGATTCACCCTGTACAACACCAGGAAGATCAGACTTTTCTCGTCTGTACATACAGCACAACCCCTGGTCCAAGCTCTCATAATATCACGCATTGACTACTGCAACTCCTTACTGGCAGGCCTCCCTGCATCCACAGTCAAACCTCTGCAGATGATCCAGAATGCAGCAGCACGTCTGGTTTTCAACCAGCCATGAACAGCACGTCACCCTGCTGTTCAGATCGCTTCACTGGCTTCCAGTTGCTGTCCACATTAAATTCAAAACTCTGACACTTGCCCACAAAACTACAACGAGAACAGCTCCCTCCCACCTGAACTCTCTCATTTGGGTCTACACTCCCTCCCGCTCACCACGTTCGACCAACAAAAGCCGTCTAATACAACCACCACAACAGGGCCCGAGGTGGATAGCTGGACTCTTCTGTGGTTCCCCGGTGGTGGAACGAGTTACCAAACTCTGTTCAATCTGCTGATTCCCTCTCAGTCATCAGAAAAGACTAAAGACCAGCTCTTCACTGAACACCTTTGCACTGAAAGCAAACAAACAAACAAAAAATCTCCTATTACCTCCCACACAGCCTGCTAATGGCATCAACGCCCTACCACACCTGAACTTGTTCTATGGCACTTATCTAGATTGTTTTCTCCTGACTAGATCCTTGCTTGTGTTGTATCTGCTCTCAGATGTACATCGCTTTGGATAAAAGCTAAATGAAACTGTAGAATTGTGGAAACCGTAGGAAGCTTCAGTAGAAATCGATTATCGTGACCTGGATGACTGAGGATCTCCACAGACATCCCCGTTGAAACCTGTCCATTGTTTTAGTGGCTTTTATGCAGTCATAGGTTTGCAGATTTTTTAGCTTTCAGGTCAAAATATGTGACATAGTTTCATATTAGAGCACACCATGTCATGTATGTTAGCTTCACTGTGATTTTCAAAAGAAGCCTTTTTTTCCCAGCCATCCTTCGAGGAGGAAGGTGGCCAAACCAGAGTGACTTCATTACCTGGCGAGCTGAGTGTGTGTGTGTGTGTGTTGTGTGTTTAGTCTGATAGCTCCACACCAGTCTTTAACAACATCTAATTTGTGCCTTTTCACTGTTCACGCGAGGGTGTGTGCATAAATATGATAATATCCTGCTATTAAAGTATGAAAACACAAGTACCTCAGCGACTCTCTCCAGTAGCGGCTCCAGCCAGTGGTCGTTACATTCGCAGTGAGAGTCCAGGAAGGTGAGGACCGGCGCTGTGGCGGCGTCTGCACCGCGAACCCTCGAACGCATCAGTCCTGAGAGAAGGTAAAGGAAACTTAAAAAGCACCGAACAGCTTCTCCTCATGAAACGATGAAACTTTCCTCCTCTACCTACCTTCTCTGCGGTCGTTTCTCAACACGCGCACTTTCTCAATCTTCCCCAGCAGCGCTCCGTCCTCAGCTGGAACACACACACAAGAGAATGGCTGTTTGTATTTACACACTGACAGGTCTGACTGCGTGCGACATCCGTTTGTGTGCATCACTCACGATTATCACTGTAGTCGTCCACTAGAATGATCTCTTTGACCAAGTGAGGAGGACTTTTCTTCAAGACGCTAAAGAATCGGAAAAGATGCGGATATAAAGTATATAAAAGTGGACAAATCAGAACAGACACACAGGACGACACGCGTTTCACCTACCTGACCACAGTCCGCAGCAGAGCGGAGCGAGCCTCGTTGTGGAAGGTGATGACGACGCTGGAGGCCGGCAGCTCTGACTTCCACTGTTTATGTCTGCAGCTGCACAAACACACAAACCAACCAAATTAGCAATGAAGGGATAGAGAGAGAGAGAGAGAGAAAGCACAAAATGACAAAGTATAGATGCTCACACACGTGCACAAACACTCCTACACACACGAGCACGTCGCTGGATGTGCGAGCCAAGCTGCGAGCTGGAACTGCTCCCCTAAACAGATTTCGAATCCATGAACACAATAAATAGGATTGAGCGCACACTGACACCGAGGGTTCACGCAAACACACACAAGTAGACATTGTGGGGATGCAAGGACACACAGACACACCAGCGGAGCAATGCTCTGCTGAAGCGGGGATTGGCACTGGGTGTTTTTTGTAGACTGCAGGGCAAAAAATCCCATGAGGTCGTGAGCATGTCTGTGTGTCCGAAAAGACAAATCCTGCCCCGAATTAAAACTGAGGGAACAAGAGTGATAAACAGCTACACGAGAAGGAGAGCAAAACGAGAAGGAAGGCCTGAGGGAGTGCCAGGAAACCTTCTATCCTCTCTGACCCTAAAAGTACAGCCAGCGTGTGAAAGGCTGTGGTGAAACGCATGAATATACTAATGTGTAGGCGTGTCTTTGTCCTTGCAGCGCGTCTGCTGCGTCAATCTCCAAATCGACGTCTTCTCGTATATTTCTACCGGCAAAAAAAAAAAAGCTGTTTTCTTTTAGCTTTAGGCGAGTCTACAAGTCGCTCTGATCCTGTGTTGAAAGCGCTGTGTGCCTGGCCGCGGAAAAAATAAAACCAACCAGGTTTTCTTTTTTTTTTTTTTTTTGAGTCTGGAAAACCTTCAAAATCAGAGCTGCTGCTGCTGCTGCATGCTTCATAAATGACACATCACTGTCCGATCAATATGAAGCACATCCCTGCTCTTTTAGTAGGCTAATGGCTCCAACTGTCAAAGTTAGGTCAATATGTCAGCGAGGCCAGATGCCTGCCTGCTGTATAAAAATAGTCTTTGAATCTCACACAGTATGGATCTAGACTGCAGGAATAAACAGACTACTTTCAACGGCACACTGCTGTAAGATGACAGTCATGGCTGCAGTTTTACTTCTCTGTGTCTCAAGTTTTTTGTTTTTTTACCACTGTAACTGCTGTTAAAGTTCCAACTGAAGCCAGGACAGTATTTGCAGCAAGACAAAGAAGTAAAAAGCACTTTACATTGTCCTAATCACGATTAACTGTTTTTGAAAAAAGCTGATTATTGAAATAATCACTCAGTAAACCCTGAAGAATCCCAGATGTGAAACATTCTGCCACTTCCCCATCTCTTCTGAGCACAGTTTAGAAAACAACGGCTGACTACAGTGAAGATATGTTCACTATGAAAAGGTTCAGTGTGTTTTAAAGCATCCTAGTCGTCAACAGGTGAGTAATCAACCCTCTCAGAGCACACATCAAACTCTTTGTGTTTGGGGAAAGTCCCCGACTCAAAATAATCCTTTTCTATACGTACAAGACTTAAAATTAGACATGATTCAGTCAAGAGATCCTTTGAAATCACCATCATTGCTGCTGCATGGAGACAAAATGCGGAGCTCTTATTGGGACGGAGACAAACCCGAGGACACATTTTGGTACCACGCTAATAAAAAGCACTTGTAAATGTTTTCAGCATTTAAATCATCCTCCACACTGGCTGTTGTTTAGTTCCAGGCCTTAATGTTGACACATTTTCCCAGAATGTAGCTTGAGTCAACGTGTTTCTGCTTTATTAAAGAAAACAGCGAAGAGTGACAAGAAGAATGGGAGCGAGCGGGAGCTGCGACATGTCACAAGACTCGCAGTGCTCAGTAAAACAGCAGATCGCTGCCAACTTCACAGAGCTCCACACCTACACACTCCAACTTAAACCCTGAGCAAAAGGACTGAAATAGGCCAAAAAAAAGATGCTTTGACAGACATCGGATAGCTTCACTAAAACACAGCGTTCTTCTAATTATAAACCAAACTGACATTATGTCATGAGTTCTTTGTGTCTCGTCATCCATGTAACAAGCAGAACAATCAGCAGCCATTACCGGGGGTTTGTTTTATGACTGAGGCAGACAGTGTGCCGTGTGTCGGCTCTGCTGATACTTCCTGGTTTCATCTGATAGACCACAATAGAGGGAGTTCCCAGGAGATCTTATCCAGTCTGGTACCAATTAGTCAAATCGACAGACGGCATAGGACAGCATGTACACACACGATCCTTTCAATCACACATGCAACAGTAGAAGTTGAGAGAAACGGCACCGAGCTTCCCGTGTCAGCCGTTGCGTGTGTTTTAAAGACACTCTGAGCGGCGATAACGGTACGTACTGATCGTGTCTCGTGTCGGGAACGGCTCTGTCCATACGGAGTTTGTCGCTCTCCACCTGGTTGAACTTGTTCCTGGCGTACGGGTCCTGACCTGGTCGCACCACCGTGGCTCCAACGTACAGATCCTGGTCGAAATCTTGCCAACGCACCTTACCTGAAAAACAACAAAACACACATATTAAGCACAGAGCTGATGATCGTTCACAGAAGGACACACGTTTTCTTTGTGAAATGTAACTGAAAGTCCAACGACTACTGTGGCTGACAGGATAAAAAGCAAACAGGATTAAAGAAGTCATTTCTAATTTTGTTTCCGTTTTAATCGTTCAAATAAACAACTAGAGAACAAACTGTAAATCCAGGTTCTAATAAGAAACATTTCTTTAATGTGACTAATGTTAAATAAACACAGCAGATCCCGACATAAAAGCAGCCACCAAAGACGATGTTTAAACCCTCACAAAGGCTGAATGTGTGTCTCAGGAATGAATGGGATTATACATCTGTTGAATATGAAATGTAGGCAGCAGCCTGGCTGATGCAAGAATCCTTCACGACTGACAGGAAGGAAACCTCGCTGCTTCAAGCGGCTGCTTGACAAGGCAGCAACATGGCACTGAGGAAAGCTGACATGAAATTTATGCTGCTTGTATGCAAAAATATGCTGAACAGAATTCAGGAGACAGAGCGAGACTACTTTGGCAAAGCTAAAAAAACATGAAAGAACATTTATTATGCAGTGCAGTGAGTAAGAAAAAAAAAATCACATAAATTTACTAATTTGCTGCGGCTTAAAATCTAAGTTTGGAACATAGATCAGTATAAATAAACCCGATCAATATTTTTTTGGGGGAAAAAAAACACACACATTATCTACCCCGCACACACACTGTGTGCTCGTGGTGTCTGTTTGACCAGATTACTGACATCTCTGCGCATTAAACAGAGAAAGTTGTCATGTTTAATTTCACAGTTTATCACTGACTACTGAGACACAGACACACACGAATAATAATGCAGCTAATTAGCCGGGTGCAGCTGCTATGCTAATGACTTGTGTTAAGCATATGGCAGTGTGAGATTACAGCATCTCTCAGCGTAGATGAGTGTGTGCACGACAGGCAGGAACAGACAGACGGACGGACGGAGAGACGGAGCCTGTCGAGGAGGAGGAGGAGGGAAGAGCCGGGGAGCGCGTGTGCATGTGTCTGCCCTGACAGCATGCGAATGTGTCTGGCATGTTAATCAGCCGGAGCTCGCCCCGATCTGCTCGCCACCGTAGAACCGTGCCTCCGAGACACTGCTGGAAGTGTCAGAGTGTGTGATGTCCTTGCTGATATCTATGTTTAGTGGCAGCAAGCAATTAATGTGTTGAAATTAATGTTTGTGAGCCTTTAAAAGTCTTGATTGGAGCCTCTCTCTTTCAGGCCCTCCTGCCTTCTTTGTATGAGATTAACTCTCTGCTCTGTCACCGGCATTACTCTTTCATCTGACGTTTTTCCAATACTGCGAGGCCCCTTCAGCAGGTACATCCATCTCGTCTCAGCTGGTGGTTTCCTGCCTTTGTCCCTCTCGCTCTGTACCGGTCTGCTGGCTGCCTTTACAGCTGTTTGAACAGTTCTCGCTCTCCCTCGGACTCTTGTCACCGAGCTGTTTGAACCCGCTGCAGCCGACCGGTCGCGGTTGTTCGTTGCAACGAGCCGTTTCAAAGCGATGGTGACTGGTGGGGAGGGTTCGTGCTCGGCATCGTTGGCTCCATCTGTACTGAACCATGAAGCTCCTGGCCAACAGTCCAGACGACACAAGCGCTGACAGTTCACACACGTCTTGTTTGATTCACTCAGTAACTAACCTTGACCTGATGCACTTCCATAAGATATTCAGACTGATTTGTTTTTCTTCTTCTGATTTCAAAACATGGAAAGGCATGTAGCACCTATTACTCTACTTTTCTGAAATTTGAAATCCCTGTAGGCTTGCTGTGTAGAATTCATAAGACAAAACTGTGCACCAAAGATTCTCTCATATGATAAATTATCATGAATGAATTAATGTAAATAACAGCAGAAACTAACTATAATTTTTGCACCCTCACCAGCTAGTCAAGTTTACGTCTACGTCTGCCTACAATTTGATCATTTGCATATAAAATGTCATCAAATCAAGACATTTGTGTGAAATGTTATAAGAAGAATAAGAATCCTCGCGGTCACATTGATCTTTCACCACCAAACTCTAATCAGTTCAACGATGAGCCCAAGGGAGCGTTTGTGCCAAATTTGAGAAAATTAACGAGAATAGACGCACCTTCAGATAGACAACCAGTTCCTTTTAAAAGAACCTGAGCTTAGCAACTCGACTTTACATGGATTGGTCACGTTTTATGCATTATTTCAATAACAAGCTGTCAGACAGTTGTTGGTCAAATTCAGAAAATTAACAGGAAACTATTTTCAACTGAGGTAATGTTTCAAGGAAACACACGATATTCTCTAGATTCAGCTTCTTAGATTTAAGTATTAGCTTCTTCTTAAAGCTGAAACTTTGGGGGGTTTAGCATTTTAAAGACATTACCTTGGACTTTAGGAAACAGATCAGCACTATGTTGAACATTTTATAGACCAAATAATTACTGTTTTATGTAGAAAATTAACTTCTGATTAATCAACTGATGATGAAAACTCAACATCCCTTTAGTAACTTAAGAATGGAACTTCAACCACCATAAATCAGACAGGCGTTACAAGGTCCAAACTCCAATCACAGATGAAGATCATGGGATGCCACTGAAAGCTCAGAAAAATATCCTACATGCTTTAGTAGTCCATTTAATGTAAGTCAATAATAACAGTCCTGACATCCCCCTCCTGGTAGGTTCACCTCCTTGGAAGGTCTTCCCTTTTATTGGTGGTGACCAGCTCCCCCTGGGTTTGACCAAATTTCCTTAAACTTAGACTGAAGTAGTTTTGGGTGGACCCCTTCAAACTGGCCAAGTTTCACCGAAATCGGTGAGATGGCCTGTGCCACCCCTGCCTGGTCCTATCCTGGATGCACTATTAATACCTGGAAAAGCCTAGTAAGCCACCAATGAGTTCAGATTTAGTTCATTTATTGGGAAAGTTGAGGTTCACTCTGGATGTTAGTCTTCAAGTCGCACCAGAAATACGTGCATGAGTTTGCAGCACATTACATGCTCAGCCAAGCTTCCCTGAATCAACATGACAAAACACTTTAAAACAGCCTTAAACATGAAGAAGGCACTAATCCCAGCCTCAGAATTGATTAAATATTCACTCTAATGAGGTTTACTCAGCACATTTCCACTTTAAATGTTTTACAGTGAAGATGTGTGACATTGTTTTTTAATTAAGCGCGTTCTCTTCTTTCCTTCTTTAGGAGTGGTTTTAAGCATCACCCAGAGCAAGAAAAACACATCAGACGCTGCTGAAGAACCTGAGCGCGTACTGTTTCACTATTTCCTCCTTCATCTCCACATTCTTTCATGACTTTTTAAAAAAAATCTTTTACTCTTTCCGTCTCCTCCTTCCCTCCATCTCCTCTCCTCTCCTTACGAGTGTTTGTGCTGTGGGTGATGTTGTGATACGCTGTAGGTGTTGAGTGTAAAGTCACCCTGAAGCTGAAATGCCCCCACTTCAACATTCAAATTGGATTCCATTTCCACTGCTGGATCAGATAAGAGAGTGTGTGTTCAGCGTTCGCAGGTCACAGGCTTGAGAAGGAGGGGCGGCGGCTGCTGCTGCTGCTGCTGCTGCTGCTGCTTTGAGTCGGCTGACGATGGGAGCTGAATGAGAAATCGCTGCTCAGATTCTCCTCCTGCTCCTCTCCACACCGCTGGACACTGAAACAATGTTTCTCACAGTCTGGGTGGAGACGCATAGCTGGGTTTTGCGGGAAGATTAAAATGGGCCCTTGAATTATTTTGGATAAACTGTCGGCTCCAGCCTTTTTAAGTTTCTTTCGCGCAGCTGTCTGTGTTGCATTGTCTTCTCTCTCTGCGGTTATTTGAACATGGTAAGGTTAAGGATGCTGGCGCTCTGCTGGTAATAAAAGTCAAACTATGCCACTGTGTCGCCACATTTTGAACAAGGGGGGGAGAAATGGTTTCGGTTGTGGGAACACGATGTGGAATACTTTCTGGATGCATTGAATGTGGTGAGCAGTGTCTGCAAAGCACATGCTCTACAGCTGGGACGCATTTGTCGTGCTTTTTCCCCCCCTTTAGTTCAATCACAACTGCAAACAATGAGATGCTGAACTGAGTCCAGATCCGGAGGGAGATCCTGTTGCTGCTTTTATGCCTTGAACACAAACCATCTCCCTCCGCTTCCATTCCCAGCATTAAAAGGGGAACTCCATTGATTTTACAGGTTAATGAGCCTCTGGGATTAATACTGCATGTGCAAACAGCTGCAGATGGAGTCGCACAAGCTGATAAACTACCACGTGTGACGTCACGCTTGAGCTGACGAGCATGAAAAAAAGAATCTGTATGTGCTGGAAGCTGCGACCAAACTGTTGGCGGTCAAGATGTACTGTTGGTAATGAAGACGTGAGGTTTCACAATGTGTGGAATAAAAAGAAAAAGGATAAAAATCTCTTTTGTTCTCTCGCTACCATTAGTCAACAAAGTTAAACATCTCCGTGCTGAATCAGTGGATCGCTCTTTCGTGCTGTTATCTCGCCATGTGTCTAGAGGCAGAGAGGTCGCGGCGTATGATTGGTGGTGAAGGCTCCTACCTGGCGGCAGAGTCTCCAGGCTGTGAGTCTTGTCGTCAGAGTTGTGTCCTTTGCTCCTGATGGACAAGTTGCTGGAGCCCCAATCATCCTGAAACCAACGAGACAAGACAGTTAGACGTATCACACGCACACATTAGCTCGCACACACGCAGCCGAACCAGAAACGCAGCAAACAACAAAAATGCAGCGATTGTAGAGAGAAGAGCTGCACGCAGACTTCGCATTTTTGAAAGGAGAGAATAAAGAGAATTCATTTAAAAGACTTTTTCTTTTGCAACATGATGACGATTATGAGGCGAGATCTGAGAGGAAGGAAACAGTGTAGCCTCACGCAGCACAAATAGTGTTTTCACATCCTGTTCAGAAACTGATATTTCAGCATTTGATTTCGCAAAATCTTTGGCTGATGAGGTCAAGGTTCAGAGGTTAACTGAAGTTCTTGTGAATGAGGTTGAGCCCCCTCACATGAGGTCCATTACAGCATCCCAAGACCTTAAATAATCGACATTGTTATCTAGCATGGCACTTTGAGGTTTTTTTTGGGCCCCGCAAAAATAATAAGAATCAAGAATAATGTTTTTTAAATTTTTTTGTTGAATAGGGTTTCATACAAGGGCTGCAAGGTGGTTCGGTGGTTAGCACTGTTGCCTCGTAGCAAGAAGGTCGCCGGTTCGCATCCCGGTGAGGACATCTGGGATCTTTCTGTGTGGAGTTTGCATGTTCTCCCCGTGCAGCGTGGGTTCTCTCCGGGTTCTCCAGCTTCCTCCCACACAGTCCAAAAACATGTTGAGGTTAATTGGTGATTCTAAATTGTCCGTAGGTGTGAATGTGAGTGTGCTTGGTTGTCTGTCTCTAAGTGTAGCCCTGTGATAGACTGGTGACCTGTCCAGGGTGTCCCCTGCCTTCATCCTGAGTCAGGTGGGATAGACTCCAACCCCCTGTGACCCTAGTGAGGATTAAGCGGTGTATAGATGATGGATGGATCAGATCTAGCAAGGCACTTTGAGTTTTTCCTGCACAGAGACATTTTAGACTTCTCATCAGCAGCACAAAAATGATAAGAATTGAAAATAATGTTTTTAAAACCTGTTTTGTTAAAAAGGGTTTCATGTATTCAAGCACAATGATAAAACACAGACTCAGTGCCTTCGCTCTACACGGACCAATCACCTCCCCTAAGAGGCCCATTCTGACTCAGAAACCCCCCTGAGCACACATAAATAAATCAATTAACACACGTGTTACACGCTATACTATAATCACTCCACTTTCACCCTCCTTTAGTCCTCCGTAGCCTAATAATCAGACTAAAAAGTCATTTCGTTTCACTCCATTTACCGTCTGAACCAGTGTGGGTGTGATTCAGAGGTCCAGGTTAAGCCATTGCCCATTATTTCATTGACTCATGCATCTGTTACTTTCATTTCCTCCTGCCCGTTCATTAGCTCATTGATTCATTTATTCCGTCTCTACTGAGGTCATCTTCTGAGAAGCGCAGTAGTTCTCAGGCCCTCACCATTTACAAGAGTGGACAGACGACCGAGCAATCATCCATCCTCGTCTCAATATGCCGCATGTTGCCATTAAACCCCCTCCTGCCCCCCGGATCGATGTAGTGGGAGGCACAGCAATTAGCACCATTCATCCCCCCCCCGTCCACGCCGCTGCCCTTGACTTTAAAAACTATTGTGCATCACTCTTATTTGCTCTGTAGTCTAGTTTCACCTTCAGCCCCTCCGAAATGCTTTATTGATCCGTTTTCTTTGCCGCTTCAGGACAACCGCTGACAGCGTGATGTCACAAGCAACCCCAGATAACCTGCGAATAGGAGTAAAGGCTTTTCACACCGTCTTTTAAGGTTGTTTTTTTTTATGCTTTTCATGCATTTCTAGTAGCAAAATAACTGCTGTTGTTTTGTGTGACTGTTGCTCATCATTTCACTCGCTGCCAGATTTTCAATTCATCTGCTGTGGATAGAGCCTCAATCTGTTCTTAAACTACACTCGTTTCTCAGTGACTGAAATAAGATTAGCCTGTCCACTACCCACAACCCGCTATAAAAGAAGAAAAAGAAGAAAGAATCCTACATAAAATCAATTTCTATAAGTGCTCAGGACAGATGAGTGCGTACACAGTCGGATGGTATAATGCTCAGTGTAGGATGAAAACTGAAGCTGGCAGGATTCTTCCTGCAAGAATGCAGTTTGACAGGTTCTGAGGAAATAAACGGGGCATATTTTGAGGTAAAATAAAGCTGCAAATTGGCTTTGGACTTTTGCTTCGTCAGGGAAAAGCTCTCTCTCTCTCTCAACAGTCGACTCTTCAAACCGGGAAGTTTCACGTCTCTGCATTTTGAGCTAATTATGGGGGATGGTCACATTGAGATTACACCTGTCATAAGGAACCTCTGCACGCTTTAACCTCCACCATCACATGATCAAGCATAAATTAACATGATCTCAAGCAGACCATCACTGATGCCAGCTATAAGGTTCTTCTTTCTCCGTCTGATCAACACACACGCAAAAAAAAAGAAGAAAAAGAAAACGTCATCTGCCTCTTTATTCGCCTGGCTGCCTCTCAATCCACAGCTCAGAAGCACGCTGAAACGCCGTTTTGCATCTCACGAGAGAAGACGAAAGCCTCCGTGCTCATGTGCAACAACAAATGTGCAAAAGCAGACCTGGGCGAGCGCACAAAGACACTCGACGGGCAGGAGATCTGAACTGAACGCGGTTCGCAGAGGAGGCGCGGCCAAGAAAAGCCCCACGTCGGACATCTGACTCTCCATTTGTGCCCAAGTTTAGTTAAACGCTCGTTCTAGCCATTAATTTGGTGGAACAAAAGCGGCCTACACCCTACGGAGCGTTGTGGCGTTTTTGAGTCACAGCAGCAAAGCGAAATAGGAAATCGTGTCAGCGTGCAGCTAAAGACCTCCTTCACAGTTTGACTTGTCGGGAAAAGCGCAGGTGCTACTAACAGCATTAATTCTGTTCTATTCAGGAAGTCCCGGGAGGTCGCGACTGTGCAGACAGCATTCACAATACAGAGACCCTGAAACATGAGCAGCTCAATGGAAATCAGTCGACACATGTCTACTCTGTGTGCACGCTTATTAACAGGAGCTCAACGTGTGCTTGACAGAAGTCCGACATAAATAAAAGCTCCGTCGGCTGCATGTGAGCAGTGGCTGGTTTGGTTCAAGTATTAAAGCCTATAAACGCAGTTGGTAGCACTGTTGCCTCACAGCAAGAAGGTTGCCGGTTCGCGTCCCGGTGGGGGCACGGGGATCTTTCTGTGTGGAGTTTGCATGTTCTCCCCGTGCAGCGTGGGTTCTCTCCGGGTTCTCCGGCTTCCTCCCACACAGTCCAAAAACATGTTGAGGTTAATTGGTGATTCTAAATTGTCCGTAGGTGTGAATGTGAGTGTGCTTGGTTGTCTGTCTCTAAGTGTAGCCCTGTGATAGACTGGTGACCTGTCCAGGTGTCTCCTGCCTTCACCCTAAGTCGGCTGGGATAGAGTCCAGCCCCCCATGACCCTAATGAGGATTAAGCGGTGTATAGAAAATGGATGGAAGCTTTAGGGCTGGACCCGAACAGTCGAATAGCCGACTATTCATTGGCTGTGCTTAACGAATACCCACCTGCCGCCACCGCGCGGCACCCCAAATATTCGGGATATTCATTATTAATGGGGGCTAGAAATAGAAATTGCTATTGGGACCAGCCCTACTAAGCTTATAGTAAAGCTATATGTTAAATCCATTGTTTCTGTTCTGTGTAATTTAATCTACTGACAGACTTTTGACAGAAATGACAGTTTGAGGAGCACTTTTACACTCAATGGACGACCATTTAAACGCCACACATCCGGCTGAGCTTCCTTTTTTTTGACAAGCAGCTTTAAAATAACACGAGGACGGCGCTGACAGCCCTGCGAATATCTGCCAGTTGATCGCCAAGACTCTTGAGAGGCTATCGAGGTAAAGTGATGCACCGCTTCCTCTCTGAAACGCACCGCTTTCTCTTGAAAAATCTCCCGCGTCTTTGTACGAATGTTTACCCTCAAGACTCCCGCGAAGAGCGAGAGTTGGGAAGCGATCAGCGAGTCATTTTCCCCAGCTGTGCTGCTTGTAAATGCGAAATGTTTATTTCATGGACGCAGCGATGGACTTGTTTTTAAACCGCAGAAATTCATCATTGTGTTTTTTTTTTGTCGGGCGAGATAGTTGGGAAAGTAATGGAAAAACAAGGGGGGAGAAAAAAGTAATGAGAGAAAAAGGACAACACTCCAGGTGCATTAGTGCTGCATGCTTCCCGTCTGAACTCCTCTGAGATTTATGTGCAATTCAAGTCCATCACCGAGACACAAAACATTAGGAGACGATGAGAACAATGCAGCGCTTTAAGTAGCAGAACGCATGATTTATCAGCAAATGGTCGCCGTAAATATGACTTAACGCTGATTGAAACGCGATTTTAAAGGGTAAGTGGGGAGCAGATGTTGTGGAGCTATTTTTAAAACTCACATCACACGAATGGCTTCGAGAAGCTCTTGGTGAAAATTGTCCCAGCTCGTATCTGCCTCTCGTCTGAGCACAAACATCAACGCACACATACGGTATAGAGACATAAAGAACACACACCAACCACGACCAGCTACCAACACATACTTGGATACTGTGAGGCCCCTAAAAATCCAGTTCTTCTGGTTGAACACAGCATCGTATTCCATTATCTGTGCTAAAAGTGTCACTGTTCTAACTCCTAATTAGAGCAGAATGATATTTGGATGGTGTCATTTCTTCATGTTTGTCATGACGCCACCATTCGATCAAACATTTTCGATGTTGTGTGCATTTTATACACACTGTCCAAAAAAAAAAGTTTAAATCTGGCAGCTGTTGTGCCAAAAAAAAAAAAAGCCCACTGTAATCTTTAAAAACTGCCAAACAATGAAAATAAAGGCAAATGTTTGTGAAATAATACGTTTTTTAAGGGGTTTCAATACAATAAAAGTCATTGTAAAAGAACCAATTAGGTCATCCAGTGCCAACTAACCTACGGCCTCCCGGCTGAGGTCACAGAG